GCGGACAAGAAAATCATGGATGGGTGGCGAACAATCCGATGTGAAAGATCCGAAGTGCGAATATACCCCTGGTCCTCACCTAGGCAACAAAGACCAGAGGAGAGGCGGGAACAGATGATGGCGGAATATTTATGGGTCGAATTTCGCCACATTCCCATTGAGATCCAGACTGTTTTTGTACAGGAACTAGGGGAGAAGTATGACATTGTGGACTTTATAGACCCTCTCCCCCCACACGTCGCATGACGCGATGACTATCTGATGTTGACACTCAGTCTCCCGGATGGGAAGCCGTTCTACATTGATGACATCATCCCCTTCCGTGTGGGTGAAAAGGAGTACAAAGTACACATAGCTCACAAGCTTAGACCGTGGTGCTTCAAGTGCCAAGCCTACGACCACTTGTACATGGACCCAGCCTGCCCTCACCACCCGATCAACCAAGCACGGGCCACAAGCAGGCTGATCAGGGACCCCTTCCATAACACAACACTGGAGAACGGTTGATCCAGGGCACGAAGGATGGGTGTATATAGATAAGGAAGGAGAGGATGGCAAAACGGCAGGATGGGTATGTGACAAGCAAGGTGAGCCAAATTGGAAAACAAAACCGATGGCCACATGGACCCCCCCTAAAACTGTGGAAAAACACTTGCACCTACCGGACCCTCCCCCGGGCCAGGTCACGTCTCAGCAACAGCATGCCCCCCCACCAGACCCTCCCCCGGGCCAGGTCACGTCTCAGCAGCAACATGCCCCTCCACCAACAGTTAAGACTAAGGAGAGAAAGGGGACCCTGGGCCCGGACCCGACGGCCTACCAGGATCAGCCAACATAGTCGGGGCAAGGGGGCCTGCAAGGCCCCCTTCAAAGAAAAAAGAAAACTGCAGATCAGCCCGGAAAAACCACATCAAGGGAAGAACAAAACAGATTTGTTGTGTTAGCCAATGGGAAGGGGGAGGCCGAAGGAGAGCAGGATAAGGGACAAAATCAGCAAACAGAGCAACAAAAAATCCTCACACACAGCAGCGAGGGGACTGGCCCACGACCCCCACAGCAAGGGCAGACCACGGAAAGGATCTCAGGGGACAGGATGGGAAAGCAGTGTCACAGCAAACTCTAGACGAAACTGCAGATCCCTATGGCGAAATTTGGCAACCGGGCCAAAAAGGACCCAGCAATCCGGTGGCCTTCCCGGCACAAGGGGAATTGCCGACCACGGTCTTGAAAATAGCAGAATGGGTCATGAGGGGGCTGCACCAACAGCATGAAGGACCATCACAAGATTTCTGCCAACGGGCACAGGCACAATTGGTAGCAGCATTGGAGAGCAGCCCCTCCATCAAGGGCATATTAAACAAAGGCCTCCCAGCCCACACCTCGTGGGAGGACGTCCTCCATCTTGGATCCGATGACCCAAATACAGGCATTATGCCTACAATGGATCCTGCGTTTGATCCTGGTTTTTCCACTCCTTTGGAGACCATTGGCCCTGGAACAAATTGTCCAACTTGCACCGGAAGCCCCACCAACGGTAGATCCTCTATGCTGATTGGACGACCGCTATTGGAAAGTACCAAGAAGAGCACGGGGGGCAGAAACAATAGAGGGGACAAAGGATGATTTTTGGCCGCGAATAATAAAAATATGGAGAGCTCTACCCCTTCCGCAGCGCCCGGCCCCCGAAAGATGGGAGGAAATAATGAGGCAACCCCTCTTTGGAAATTGTTGGATTACCAACTCTCGAAGCCAAATTTTCTGCTGTTCGGATCCCCCGTGGAAAGGATGGGTAAAAAGGGGGGTAATGAGAGTAGGGGACCTCTGGGATGGGGAACGCAAGGACTGGAAAGATCCGGACCAAATGAAAGACAAATTGAGATACTGTCGAAATATTGAGGAATCGCTGGGGGAGATTGTAGAGGCACTCCCTCTAGCCTGGCGACCCATCCTGTGTCGAGGTCCAAAAATACAGGAAGGGGACTGGGTAACAAAGGAGGGAGAATCTCACCGGGTGGGACAAGTTCACCTTGAGCAGCAAACAGACGTGTAGGTAGAATGGTACAGGGTGGGGAGAAAGGGAGAACTAATTGGCAGTGGAGCGTCTTTCGAACGGATTGACAAAGCGACCCTTCACAGGATCAGGACCCTGGGGGAAGGGGATGAACGTAGAGCATACAGGCCGGACACYCCAATATCAAAACTCCCCCTSGACCCCGCCGAATGGCAATGGCACCCCTCACAAAAGACAAATCAAATAAACAACAGACAGAAAACTGTTAACAACTTGTCAGTAAAAGCCACATATAAGATGCTACGTGTTAAAAGGAATGTGCGGGACGTAGTAATCGATAGGTGACAGCGACACCTCAATGTGGATAGGCAGTTGCTATCCCCAATAAAATGGTTTCAGGACAACAAGTGTAAACCGGCCAAAATCACGTCCCTTCAATGGCAGATTGCCCACCGCTGTCTTCCCACAAATAATTGGATAATTGACCATACTCAGTTGGAACAACAAGGACGGGCTCATCCATGGTGTTCTCGCTGCCTCCAAAGCTTCCCGTCCCAAAGGAGAATTGAAACAATAGGACATGTCTTCCTGCAATGTCCGACGGCAGTCCTAACATGGAGATGGTGGGAGAGGGTGTGGAGGCAGATGGTTCTGGACCAACCATGGCCATGGGACTGGAGAGCAATCCTCTTGGGCCACCATCCAGGCCTGCAGGACACAAACTATGCAAGGAACATGTTTGCGCTGGCAAGGAGGACGGTGCTATGGGTTCTATGGTGGCAGCGCTGCACAATGACAATGGAGGAGTCAGAGTTGAAGGGGAGGAAAGAAAGGAACAGTTTAAAAACTGCTTCCAGCTTGGGATTATGCAGAGATGGCGGGAAACGAAACAGGTGCTGGACACACACCACAGGCCCAAAGACATATCAGAAAAGATCTCCAAATTCGCCAACGAATGGCTGGGCGGTGAAAGAGAAGGATGGGTGGCTAGTGTACAGTGGTCGGGCGACAACGACAGTGATGGGCAGACAAGAGAAGAAGACCAGCAGGCATCAGTCCCACGAGATTACCGTCTCACCTTCAAGGACTGGACATCAATAGACCCCAGCATCCCCATGCGGGGCCCAGAGTTTTTCCCAGACTCTTTCCCCCCCCATCCCTTGGCAATGGAAGTCAGGCTTTAGAGGCCCGAGACAGCGGACAGTAGAGGGCAGGAATCGAGGGGACCGAAAAAGTACGGACCCGGTGGTGCCCCCCAGTGGTCTCGCCTGGCCCCGGCCCCTCGACCCTTATGGAGTAGATAGCCAGACAAGGGTAAGAAGACACTGAGCCCGACTGTCTCTTTAGAAGACAGGGCACTGTGCTATGGGGGAAAAGGTGCAGAGACAGATAGGCAGATACCTCAGACAATTGCTCAGTTTGCCTATTTTTTCTTTCTTAATTTTTTTCTCAGTTTTTCTAACTTTTGTTTTCTCAGTCTTCTCTTTTTTACTCAGCATAAGACATTCCCAACGATATGTAAAAAATGGGACGCTGGACCCGGTTTCCAGCAGGTGATGCTCCCCACCAATAGATGGAGCCTCCCCGGGAGTGCTAGCGGTGTCTGCTCTTACCAGCACCCCTAGCACCCTCTCGGGTTGTCATAGATATGTCTGAAGTAGCTCTAATTCTCTGAGCCAAGCCGGGTGATGGCCCTGGTATCTCAATTTTCAAATTCTATTCTTAGGCCAATTGGATTTTTCTAGTAGGTTCCTAGCCTCATTTGCATGAAATTTTCTGACGAGTTTTCTGAATGTACTCGTTATGGGACACTGGGCCCAGTTCCCAGTAATAAAAAAAAAAAGAAAAGACATTTGGACAAAGCAGTGATGGAGAAGAAGCGAGAAGTGAGTCCCTCGCTATTGAAAAATCATAACAATGCTGGCACTCCGCATGCACAGCCACCATATCCCACCAGGTGCGAGCCAGTCATAGCCACAAGGCCCCGCCACTGGCTGTGCTCCCGTCTCCAGCACCGCTCAGTCCCTCGGACTGCCTCACCCTGAGTCTACCGCTAGTCCCACCCCACACCGTCACTCCGCCCATTCCTTGGGCAGGTCGAGTCTTCGCACGTAGCTTGCTCCAATTTTAATGGATGTCACGAAGGACTACCTCGTTGCACTCCCACTGGCCCATCCTTCAAAAAAAAAAAACAACGCAAGAGGGACATGGCCCCCATACCGTCCCTGAGGTCGACCAAGCCTGGCCGGACCCTGCAGGAGGCCTTGGTAAATGCCGGAGGCCGAAGTATATTTGAAGCCCGGGCACTCACCGGTGGTTTAATCCGTGGCTGCCCCTGGGGGGGTTCATACGGGGACACGCACTGCAGGATGACATCTGTGTGGATGAAGCATTTGTGACCGTTGATCTCCGACATCTAGGGTAGGGAACCCTTAAACCACCAGTTCTTGGCCCATATGCCGGCCGCAGGGCGTTGTCTTTAACGGCCCGCAAGTTTTTCGGAGGCTCGGGGTACGGGACCTGAAAGGCGGAAGCCGCCAGCCAAAACAATTTTTTTTTGGTTTCGCTGGCAGGTCGGCGCGAAAGGGCGCGCAGGGCATATTCAGGCTCGGCATCCATAGCCGGGCCAAGTACTGGTGGTTTAATCCCAGTGCCTAAGGTCGTGGAATCAGTGCCCCTGGCAGGGCCAGGCAGGGCCAAATCGGGAACTTGACCGACGGTGGGGTAGTTCAGTTGGTGCGCCCGTGAGCTGCTGAAATGTAGACCCAAGTTCGAATCCAGATGCCTTCAGATGAAAAGAGAGAGGAGAAGAAGAAGGAAAAAGGAGAGAAAAGAAAGAGAATTTTTTTTTTCTTTCAGGAACTTGGGGAGGCTTGAGGCTGTACCTGGCTTGCCAAGCGTCGTCTCCTCCCGGCCGGGCGGGCTTGCGTTGTCGTCATCGACAAAACCGTGGGCATGCAGCTACGGTAGGCCCCGCCGGATTTACCAAGCGTCGTCCGTCCCTGGTCGCATTCTGGCGCGAACAAAAAGGCTTATCCACACTATGATCAGGGAGTGACACGTGGCGACGTAGCAAAGCGAGAGCATTTGCCGCTCGCCTGCTGCCCACGTGGTCTGTTCGTATCCCTTGGAACCGTTCCGTAGTAGACTCCACTTCAGCTTGATAGCTATGGCGGCTGGAGCTCTGGCTATGGCGTCCATAACGGTCTCGTCCTCGTCGGCCACAGCCGCGACGACGACGGCGGTTAGCGCATCGTCGTCGTCGAGGAACGGGCAGTCCACGTCAGCAGTTCCGTCGTTGACGTCAACACGCGTGGGCGTGTCCCTTCCGCGGGCTCTCGCAGGATCGTGCTCCGCGTCAGCCGCTATCTCCGAGGTGGTACAGCTTTCCTTCCCTCGTTTTTTTTTCTCCATCCTCTTTTTTTTTTTTTTTTTTAATCAATAAAGTACTCTGTCCTGGAGGCGAGGTCACGGCTTCCAGATATCCTTATCGAACTGACGGGGATTCGAACGCGGGTCCGCATACCAACAATTACCTTATTCCCCCGAATACAACGTACGGTCATTATAGCTGTACTTAGTCTGAAAGATGACCCAAATACATATATAATGACCGTACGATGTGTTCGGGGGAAGAAGGTACTGTAGCGGTGTACCATTCAGCCACATGGGCTGGGTCTTCTTTTTTTTTTTTTTTTTTTTTTTTTGCCACAGAGTCGAACTAGAGTCAAGCTGAACAGCTGTCTCTTATACACATCTAGATGTGTATAAGA